CTTCCAAAGTCGCGGCAGGCGTATGCGTAAGCGAGCGCCTGCCAGGGGTTCAAGCCCTTGAGCTTAGGTGTAGGAGATTGGATGAAGCAAGCGGCAGATTCGACCAAACGACAGGTGGCACCAACGGAATCCAAGTAAACTGTTTTCATCCTCAACACGGAGACCAGCAGTCGAACCTGGAAAGCCCAAACCTGGCAAAGTTGCTAAGGGCCAGAGGCCTTCAAGCACTCCCGACATCAACCTCAGCACCTCGCCTGACCCGAGTGTCAGCTGTCGGGAGTTCGCCTGTTCGACTCCACCACGGCACGCCAAAAACTGCTTAGAGACACGCTGGGCGCTACAGGGTCGCATCCAAGCCTGAAGCAGACCCGAAGCCTCGTTTCTCTTTGTCTCGCTCGCTCGCTCGCTCGCTTGCTCTCTCTCTCTCTCTCTCTCTTTCTCTCTCTCTCGCTCTCTCTTTCTCTCTCTCTTTCTCTCTCTTTTTCTCTCTTTCTCTCTGTGTCTCTCTCTCTCTCTCTCTCTCTCTCTCTCTCTCTCGCTCCTGGGCAGGGAGGCCCGCGCCGACGGCCAACGCGTGAAAGTTCAGCTCATGTCTGGAAGAAAAGTCACGCAAGGAGTCGATGAACGTGAAACTGTCTCACTCTATGTGTTTCTGTTTCATTCCCTCCCCTCGAGTTGAACTGCACAGCATAAGCCACGAAATCAACCTTCAATAACACAAATCTTAAGACTTAATCTTAAGACTTCGGTGGCTCAACAATGTGAGGTAGGCGAAGAGTTGGGCCTCGTTTATGTCGTGACTGGCAAGAGATTCTTGGGTGCTTTCTCCTGTGTTTTCTGGGATCTATGTTGCGGGAGGTTCCCCTATTCTCGGTAGCCCCCAGCAGTCCTAAGGCGTGGCCAGTCGCAGTCTGTGTGAGAGCACGTTTACTCACGAACGCAGCTCCAGCATCCAAATCCACATCGACATCAGTCTGTAAATCTTTGGAATCGGCCGCAACGTCTTACACAGACAGATGCCCCAGAACTCAAGGCCCAACGACTAAGCACTGCGAACCTGGAGACCTTGGAAAGATGCACAGACGCATACTTCAACCTCGAAGCTCAACATGAGAGCTTGGGTCATACCGGAAACAGAACCCAGGACCCCACGCCAGCACCTGAATTGCAATGCTTGCACAACTGGCAAGCCTGAGTAAAGCAGAACAAGGCGCCGAGCAGCCACACTCCATCTTGAAATGCCCAAGAAGGTTTTGAAGCCCATCTCAAACACTGAACCCTAAATGAAGCCTCCCCGTGACTCCGCTACGTCTTCGCTTCGAGTGCGACGCCGCGGTCTGCCGAGGGTCCAATCCTCTGGGACTGTTGCGAGGGTCCTTCCGGGTTTCTTTACATGCCCAGAAACGGCTTCGTTGGCTTTGCGGTTTTCATTGCGGCTTTGCAGGGCATGGGACTGACTTTTTCCATGGCCCTGCAAGGACCTCGGGAAACCAGGTCCGAAGTCTCGGAAGTTCCGCAGCTCACCCCTGAATCTTCGATGCTGTCCGCCACGGGCTCATTTTTCAAGCTCAAGACTTAGACACTTGTACTACAGTAACTTGTCGCACTGGCCATGCGAGGCTTCGACAAAACAATCGATTGGCTGTAGATTCGTTGGAAAGAAGCAAATGGATCTGACACCTTGCACATTTGCTGAACTGGTTTGCTGACAAGTATCATCAGCGGTTCGCCTGCGATCGAATGTTGCAATTCGGCCGCGAACCAGGCCAGAATGCTCCAGCTTGCCTCAGTGACTTACCCCTAGTCCCCCTAAATCCTCATGCAGGGATGCGGAAAATGTCAGAAAGGGATAGCAGTTGCCGGTGCTGGTGGCCGGCACTGCAGGCATTACCGAACAACAACCGAACCATCGCTACGGATGGCAGATGATGGCAGCGAAGGCGGAATCTGTCTGCGCGGGACGTGCAATTAACACTTTTCAGGTTGAGACTGCACCGGCTGTGGCATAGTTAGCGCCCTGCCTGCAGTGCCGGCTGATGCGTGGTTGTGCTGCACATAGTGCAGACGATCTTACGCAGCTTGGCTGTTCCGACGAGACACTTCGTCTCCCCAAAGCGCAAGTGACCCATCCTGGATAGCTGTGCCCCGCAGGTATGCACAGATCCATCGCAACATCGACGTTCGTCAAGGTAGCTTGGTGCTTGGCTCAACTTGATACGCAAATCTCGACATCCGTGAGTGTCTGTCCAACAGCCCGGCAGACACCTTGCCGTAGCTAGTCCACACGTCTCGATATCTTTGCAGAAAACCAATACCACCTTATATAGGGTGCCCTCCACTGAGTCGGGACCGTGCACGCCGACGTTTATCTGAGCTGTTCTTTCGATGCTGCGTGTGAGGCTCGGCTGTTTGCTCATGGCTTCTCGTCCTGGTTTGTACTGGCTACCACCGAATGTCAACGTGAAGTGACCTGCCTGATTCGGCAAACATGCATCTTCACCGCGACAGCGACAGTTCTCCGATCCAGAACTGTTTGCTTTCAGATGGGGGTGACGCAAATAGCCGGCTGAGCGAGCCCGTTAGTCAAGATTGTGCGGGATGAGCCCAAAAAGAATAACGAGTCCAACCTGTCACACCTTCTATGCATTGTGGGGTCCCGGCCGGTTCAGCCTCCGAGCTCAACGCTGCCTTAACACTCAAGTCCCTAGACATTGCGCGATCTGAGACCAAAGCCCCAGGATGTCCGGTGCGAGAACCGCGACTCGTCGCCAAAGGGGACTGCACCTGCACGGCTTCGTGTGGGCACTCTGTGTAGTTGCTGTGTGTTCCGTTCAGAGACTGGGACAATGGTAATGGGGAAGTTCATTGAATATTCTGCTCTCTCATATTCCGTTCGGGATTTGTGGGGTTCAGGCTTCAGGGTTCAGAAATTCGAGCACAGTGCATCACAGGGCCTTGAACGCACAGATTTCGACTCTGAAGGAAACCGGTTGAAACATGAGCCAGCACGCTGCAAGCTCAGGTAGCTGATGCCTCGCCGATTTGGGGCTCTTGGCTCACGCCGGAATAGGATAAACCAGGTTCTCATGCGTATGGGGCAAGGAGGGGACTCCACTCACCAAATGTCTAGCCTCAGTCAAGGGGTCAGTTCTGCTAATAAATCGTCAGTGGTATCCGAAGAACAAACCCTGCTGCAATCATGCCAAGGCAATGCACACATAGATAGCTGCGGAGCCATTGATTGCAAAACGTGTGTTGCAAATTTTTCCATAATTCTAGGAGACAACCCCGTGCCTCTAGGAAAAAGGTTGCTGCCAGGTGGACGACTGAAGTAACCAATCAGTCTGAAACACAGGGAGCTTTCGACGACCACCCCTGAGTCGCCTTCAGCTCGCAGCGCCTGGCTATGGTCCAAGGAATGCAGCCAAGCTTTGGGTCTCGGAGCTAGGGCTTTTTGCGGATGGTTTGGGATACCAGGCAAAAAGTTTACATGAGCGAAGTCGATGAGGGAAGTGATGATAATGACGCGTCTCTCGATGGCGATCACCACGCAGGATGTGATTGTGGGCAGGTCCTGCTGTTGCTAGCAGTGGGGCTTCAATGGATAGGGCGTCCTTCGCAATTGTCTTCACCGTATGTCTGGGCAACTGGTTTGGGATGTGAGGCTTGGACGCTTTGGTAATAACATCAAGTCAAACATGTCTTGTCAAAACCTATCGGGCTTCCGGTGGGGGCGACAAAGGAATTCAGTCCACAAACCGGATCGGACTCCTTCAAATGGTGGGGGGTGTGTGTGCATATGCAGCCTTTCGAACATTTGCGAGTTTCTTGTTGGCTTCCGGGTCAAAGATGGACCGTAATCATGAGATTGTCTCGAAACTTGCCCGCCGCAAGTGAGAGAAACGAAAGAAACCTTGCTTAATAGAACAGGAGACGCATACAAACAGCACTTCTGCTGTGCTTGGCGCATCAGTAGCAAAGCAAGACTCTTCTTGCATGAGAATGCGGGCGCCAACACACGCGAATTGCGTACAGCAGGAGGACTAAACTCTCATGACACCTAGTGCCGGCGCAAGACTATCGGACAACTTCCGCCTGTCTGGCAAGCTTCTCTCGAAGTTCCGCCGAGGCTTCCATGGCCGGCCAGAGGGTACAAAGTGTTTGCAAGGAGTGGCTGGTTCAGGACTCACGGTATATTAGGGAGTCGGTGTCTAAAGCTAGCTCAGGCCTCGAAAGACCAATATTCTGGTGGGCAATGCTATTCCTGAGAAATCGCAGGACGTACATAGCCTTACATTCCTTCGCCGCTTGCACAACCCATACTCCCGTGCCGGTGCTGTTATCAAAAGAGTGGCTGACATGCATCAGCTTGTCGGATCACCGTGACAAACGGCAGGCATTGGAGGTGTGTCAAAATCGTGCATGGGCCCAACTCCTGTCGGGAGTTGCAGATCGGACACATGCAAGTGCGGGACCTGGGAAAGGGCTCAAATGGCGAGAGTGTCTTGACAGATGCTGCTGCCAATTTTTTGGAACAAACACAGACAAAACGTAACTACTAATAGGAAGCCCTTAATCACGTTGCTCGACAGCTGGCCTTGCACTCTGACGCCCTTCGATCCCGCCCTGTAAACCCTGTTCAAGTTTTGCCAACGGCGGCAGCAGCGAAGGCTCAAGGCAAGCACTGCCCGAGCAGCATGTCAGCATACAGTCACCAAAGTCTTTGAAGGACTTCGGGTGCAGAGTTTAGAGTTTAGCATGTGACGTCGAAAGACTTTAGGCTAGGGCTAGAGTAGTCACCTGGATATACCTGGATCGGATAGCCTGGGGGAACAAGGCGACCCAAGCCACATTGTCTCCAATATGCCATCTGTTCAAAGTTCCGTGGACGAGTTGGGCGGCTAAGCATAGCTTGCCTTTCCTGTTTCGAAGTCTAATGACTGCTAAGCTCCAGAAAATTGGTGGGAAACAGGGGCAATCGCCCCGAGCAGTGAGGCAAATCATTGCACGAGTTGCCGCGGGCATTTTCCCACGTATCCTGAGCGCACCAAAGCAACGTCCTAGATCTTGAGTTTCGGCGCTCACACTCGGACACTCCAGGCGAGGCATGTGGTTCGAGGTCTGCAACAACGTGAAACATGCATCAAGATGAAGACCCACACAACATAAACACCCTGAAGTGATCTTGAGTTTTGGGGAGCGGGTTCACCGATCGTGGGGCCACAATACTCGGAGATTGGAGAATCACCGCCTCTCGGCACAGGCAAGAAAACGAGCTGGCGGGTCCTAAACTACCCGCGAAGGCCACTCAGCCTGAATGTCACCAAGGGTCGTTGCTTAAAATCTGCTTCTGCTCGCCACCAGGCCGCGTAGGACTGCGGCCAGTATTCCGTCACTTGCTTCCTGTCCGCTTCCTGGGGGCGTCTTTCATGCGTCGAGAGTCCGTAGCTTTTGGTCCCTATCCTAGTGCTCCTGCGTAGGAACGCCTTAGCCAAATGTCAAGACTCGTGAATCTGGAAGAAAGGGCTGGGAGGCTAGAAATACCCGAGAAAAGCTGCAAGTTCTCTGATGCAAGACCATGAGATGGCACTCACTAAACCTGACACTGAGCTAGGGTCGGGACCTGGTTAAAAGGCTTTGGTCTTTATTATGCTCTCACAACTCCGACAAGCCAGGCCAGGTTCCACAGGTGCCGGGCTCTGGTCATTTGGATTACGGGACTTGTTGTACCTATGCCTTGGCAATTTCGGTTCAGAGCTGGCAACTTCACATCTTGCCGACGAGGACAGCGGGGCTTGTGCACTCGCCGGATCTGACCCCAAGACCCCAATCCAAGCTTCTGACCACCTACAACCTTCGATCGCCCTGAAGGCCCCTGATCGCTGCCAGGAGCTGTAAGGTCCCACGGCTTTCGAGATCCGCAAAGGTGGACGATCACTTTGGAGTCGATATCGATATTCTTGCGAATCTTAGCTGGGTCGCAATCTCAAGCAAATCATGCATCGGCCGAGGATTGAGGATCCAAGGCATAAGCCTGAAGTGTCAGCGCGTTCGAGGTTGAACAAGTTTTACACATCCACCCAAACACACAGAGTTTTCGAAGACACTGGCGCTCAGTGCTACCTCCTTTACTTCTTGAAGTCCACGGCGGGATAATGATGGCGGAACCCTTGACACCCCTCTGCCGGCATGGAGGTCTTTGAATCCTCAAGCTCTGGGACCCAACGCCTGAAATCCAAAGCCTGACTTCTGGACTCCAGCTACCATGCTCCGGTCTGTACCTTGGTGTTAGGCAGTAGGCTTCGGCTTTCTTTCTGTTTATCCTGGTAGCCCCTTCCGCGTACTTCTCGGTGTCGAATCTCTCTGGCAAAGCTGTGGCCTTGCTCCACTTGTTTCCTGAGGCCAACACTTCATGATGCAGTGGGCGTCGGAAGTGCAGGGCACATCGCCACTCACGTGGATGCTTGCCAAAATTCAATCAACTTATTTTGAGAAACTGAACCCAGCGTGTCGGAACAAGAAACCACATCACTACAAAGCCTCGAAACGGGAAAAAGCTTTCGGCGTCGCTGGTGCTGCCATCCTGAAGCCCCACGTCCTAGCATTTATTTGAGCAGCCGTCGAACCCGAAACAGCACTGGTAAAGCCCAGCCGCGAAAGTAGTAGCTCAGCAAGCCCTGGTCACCTGACAAGGCGTCGGATTCGGGATGGAACTGAAAGCCCGTCAGCCTCAGAGTCCAGGATCGCTTGCATTGTTCCGAAGCCCAGGCGAAGAGGCGGAGTAGTACAAAGTAGTACGTAGCAGTAGGTAGTCAGTAGCAGTTCTCGTTGTTGCTGTGGAAGCTGTAGCTGTACGAGAAGCAGTGACACTCAGCGTCGTTGTCGCATCGTGGTAGGAAGATGAGTTTGGCTGACATGTGCGCCTCCGTCATACCACGGCTTGGGTATGATGGGCGTGGCTTGAGCAAAGGATATGATGTCTCTGTACAGGAATTCTGTTGGCTCCACCACGAACACTCCAGCGTTCATTTGCCAGTCCTGACGAGCAATCCAACATGGACAAGTGGCCCCCCCCCCCCCCCCGGAATCAAGTTTTTCCTAGCATCAACCCACGATGTTACTGTAGAGCTGTATCGTGGCAGAACAGCTGCAATGGTTGATGGGCACCCATTCGGCATTCACACAATTCATCTCGCCTCTGGCTCATGCTGATCCGGTCCTTTCCCACATCTGGAGCTGCATTGAAACCAAAGTCCTGGGCGGCTCATGAGTTTCTAGCCCGTCGCGACGCCTCCCAACCAGAAGACGCAAATCTCAAAGCCTTTTCTGCTGCAACATGGGCGGGCACGGGGCAGTTTTTGCCATAGTAGCCATAGTACCGGCTCCGGCTTGAGTCTTGAATTCCGCGAATACCGCCGAGAATGAATGTATGACCATGAGCACAATCGCAAGCGGCAACCATGGCCTTCCAAACTTTGCTACATGTAAGCCCCTCCCTGGGTAATTTGGCCCGAGAGTCGAGCGCAACGGAAAATAATTCATCTGGATTCCGCAGCCTGTGCCGAACAGTGCAAGACACTCCCTCTTCTCTCACGCTCTCTCGAGGGTGCTTCCTGGCATTACACAAACGGACAAACAACTTATGCAATCCAGGGCTTGGGAGGTTGCATGTTCTGAACCGAATGCGAAGCGTTTTGGCTGTGGACTGGTCAGTGTTCGGATGCCCTGAACAGACAACTTCAGGACATGTGGTCACAACATGTCATGTATGTGTGATCAAAAACCCTCTCCTCGACCACAATGGGTCGTGGTTCTCAAGACCTTGCTTGACCACGACTGACGCTGTAGTTAGAAAGAAACTGGGTCCCAAAAAGCCTTTTGCTTGACCATAAGCCGACTGTATCCCACTCTCGCCCATCGCTTAAACCTGGAACAAAAATCCTCCTCTCTGCCTGTCTGCACTCACTCGAACCATAGCCTTAAAGCCGGCAAGGCCGCAAAGCCCTCAATCCTACAACACAAGAGCCCCGAGCCTAACGATCAATACAAACATGGAAACCAGATGCTTTTTCACAGCTCCCAGATGCGGCCTGGTGAGAGCCACTACGGACGATTGTCTTGTGTCCTGTCCTGACAGGATCCAACCCCATTAATACTTCGTCCCAGCTGCACAACCGTGTCGAGATCCAGATAGACAATGCGCTTCGCCTCTCAGGTGGAATGGAAGTAACTGTACGCAACAGGAAGACTACAGAAACCGAAGCACCCTGGAAGCCTGAGTCAATCAGTTTCACGGTTTCAGAAGCTCTTGACATAATTTCTTGAAACTGCTGGCACATTCCTAAGCCCAAATTCCTACCTTACTCGCAGACACGCGTTGCAACCCCTCTAACTAACCTAGATGTTAAGCAGAGTCTTGACTTTGCCTGAAACCACGCGAAGCGCCTTCAGCCTGAAAGCTGAGAGTTTCGTGTACGTGCCCGCCTTAGCCAGCGGCTTTTTGGACTGGGCTCCACGAGTCTGCAGGCTGGGAGGCTCAGCGTAAAGACTGTTGCAGTCTGGGATGAGTTCGGTTCTCTAGGTTATTCCAGGCGCTTCACTCACGTGCGCCTTTGCAGGTGCTTGGAAAAGATGCATCGGAACCACGCCTTTGGTTTGATATAGTTTCAACACACACACACATTCTTCTTTGGTCAAAAACTCCAATTAATATACTGCAAAGAAGTGAAAGCATGAAAAAGGCCAAAGTAAAAGAAGTGCACTTTCGTTCCTTTCGCTTGCTCGCTCTGTTTTCTTTCCTCTTTGCCTTTGCTTATTTCATGCTTCCGCTCACTACGCTCACTACATGAAAAATAAGCTAAGTACAGGCCTCAGCAGCAAGCCACAAAAAACCTCCAGGCACCCACACAGCCAGGACTACGAAGTCGGAAATCCAAAAAAGCACCGGCTGCTGTCCAAAGCTATACACTGCTTACACCCAGGCCATGACACTTCGGAGGTTTCCGTGAGCATCCGATTGGAGATGGGTTGGTAGCTACAAGTCCACAAGTTCGGATACCTCGCAGTCGCAGTTTCATCAGAACCTTGGAAACCTCAAAGAACACAAGCTCGGAAACTGAAGTCACACCTCCACCCTGCCGGACGCATCCCAGAATAGCGTTTTGCATTAGCCTAAATCCAAACTCAAGGAGCTAATGTCAAAGGACCTGCGTTCACGGCTTCCCCCCACCCCTTATGACGCCAGAAAGATTCTCTTGAGAAGCGTTTGCAAATGTCGAGGTGGAGGGCTGCGAAGTTCTATGGAGTCGGACGGCAGGGTGAGATTTCGGAGACTCGGATGTAGCCCAAGCTGCCCAAGACGCTTTCGTCAGCTCCGGGTTTGAGAGGACCGGCACTATCACCATGTAGAAGTCGAGGCCTAGGATGGCGCTGAAAGTGAGTCTTTGGCCATGAACGTGATGCTGAAGTGGTCGTGGCTCTTGCCTTGATATGACAATCACATGCCCGCATCCCACCTGCTTGGAGGTCCGTGAGTAACTCCGGACATCTTCCGCACTGTGCCGTTTTTCTCGTGCCCAAGAGTTGGTCGCCTCCTGCGCGCGCGACATGCATCCGACCACGCCGACCAAACTTCGGGTCCTCCCACAGAGCGACCGGGAGGCAGTGAGAGGAGGCCACGACGGCGGCTTCAGCGCAAGCTCCGTGCGGCCAATAAGGTCTGCCGTCTTCTTGCGAAGCGTTTCGCCCGACCGTCAGTCAATTCCAACCCTGAAATCACGGATGCCCATAGTTTTGGTGTTCTACTTTCGGATCGGCTGGGAGCCTCAGTTTAGGATCGGGCCGAGGTCGG